CAGGCTTAGGAACGGCAATAACCCCAGAAAGGTTCCAAGTGGAGTTTGTTGAGGATAGTTATAACTATGAAATTTTAAAAAAATACACATTTAAAGTACAAAACATTAACGATGATTGTTTTAAGAGCTAGATAGACTACAACTTACTAATCTTTTGTTTAAACACAGCAATATCTTCACGGGATGTTAGTTTCTTACTTATGTTTAAGCTTTCAAGTTGTTGTTATTTTAGAGAATTTTATTGACTAGCTGATTTTTTTTAATACCTTCCGGTTATGACTAGTATCGACTAAGATGTTTATTACTTACTAATTTACTGACGCCTGTTACCCGTCATAGAGAGCTTATAGGCCGTCGCCGACCAGCATTCACCAACCTACTTTATCCTAGGCAAAGATATTTATTCATGAATAATGTTCATCAATTTTCTATTATCCTAGAAAGGGATTATTTTTGTAAGTATATATATGAATTAAACATTTTAAATCAACACGAACACATTGATACAAGTGAGTGAGTATTTTATGCCTAAACATAAACTTATAAATCTGATCGATATTTATCTAAATAGCCATTAATAAAAAAAATGATTTGAATGCACCAATCATAGGTGTTTACACATGAATGAATAAATATAAAAGGAAACGAAAGTCAAAAAAGTATTTTATACGTGTTTAATTCTTTCTGATGAAGATTTTCTCACATATAAATGAATTTCTTAAAAGTGTTAATTTTTGAAATAATGAATCGATCATTTTCAGAGTACTATTAGAAATCTGGAAGCACTGAACGGCCGTGTTGTCTTAGTATGGAATAGAGTTGTAGAGCACTAGTGACTAGTTTTGTGAAAAATTTCTCGGAGTTCTAGGGAGAGGCCGTGACCAGTGGAGTTCAATACTGTCGGGTGTAGACAGTAACTATCTAAGGCAATGGTTGAGGTTGGTCAAGACCTTAGATTGATCAAGGTTAGACATTGATTAACACAGTCAAATGTTGGCTAAGTGGTTCAAAGGTTAAGCGTTCGCATGTGAGACCAAAGGTTCCAGGTTCAATTCCCACATGCAGGAGTTGTGGATGAGCACTGCTGAAGAGTCCCATATTAGGATAACAAAATGGCCATCCAGTGCTGCAGGCTTTTAATGGTGGTCTACCATTGATCGATTCATGATTTCAATAACGAAATTACATTGAAAATTTCAAAGTCTACATCTCAGATTGTTCTTAATCACCACTAAAAACCAGAAAGCAAACTATTAGACTTCTGTTCAGTAGTCGAAACGTTAACCGATCGTTACACGACTTGGAGTATATACAGGGTCAAATGCGAGGTGGGGTCATTGATGATTGATTATAAGGAATCTGTTACGGGTGCACAAAACCTATCCGGTGATTTTTGATATGATGTGATGTAATATGAAATTTAGATTCCTAAATAATAAAGTTAGCTCATCTGTACTTATTACTGTCAGTTTAGACAATTTCAGCTTTGGATGAATTTTGTAAACATGTCTACTAATGTTAACTCAGGAATTCACGTTGAGTTCTAAAAAGGGAAAATTGTATCTTGAATATTTTTTACGTGAAATATAGGGGTTGCAATATTATCTACAGAGTTATTGTTCTTTAGTTTAGACCAATTAAAATTTCTGAGATTCATGCAAAGTGTTGGGGACGTTAGATCCGCAGAACTCGCTCGATAAAGGCCTTATTTTTGGATCAGTTGACCTTGAGACCACATTTCCCACTAGGAAAATCCTTGGCTGTGATAAGTTAATGTGTTATTATAGTGTGCTATTTTTTGTGACTCTCCCAAGGACGTTTCTATGATGTATAAATAAACGCGATTTGTATGCTTGAGATCATTGTATTTGATGGGTGTTTGTAGAATACACTTTCTACGCTATATCAAGACTTCTTGATATAGTTAGCCGGGCAAGGGAAAACAGATTAGAATAGCCTTCCGTGTCACTGGTTCATTATCTCGTTCTCGTTTATCGACTAATGTGAACTCATAATAGTTTCAAGCATCTCAAGTGACGAGAATAACACAAAGCTTCAGAAATCATTCCTAAGTCTCCCTTATATTTTAACACTGTTTAATCAAGTGTTTGTATGTGTGTATGGTAGGTACACCATAGAATGCCATAGAACGATGACAAAGAATTCAAGTCCACATAATAGTTGATAACTTTTAATTTGTCCTTTTGTTGACTAGCACTGATTATGACTGTACAACTCATTAATCAAAGCTATGCAGATAGAAATCAATGACAGCCTATTTTCAAATGATTAATTACACATTTATTTCATTTCGTTTCATTATGGTATACTCCTACTGAAATCTAGTCAGTTAAGTAGTATCATCAATGTCTGATATGGTAATAAATAAAGGAGTGAATAAATAAGAATTGTTATCTATATTCATTGGTTCATTAACTAAGTTACAGTTGAATTTCATGAGCCTATTAGATGATGATGAGTTAATGATTGATGACAATTTATGACCTCAGTGAATTATTGTTGAGTTGATAAAAAAAGTAATCATACAAAGGTTTGCTGTTATTGATTTTTATTGATGAGGAAAAGGCGTACATGAATGTAGGACACAATAGGTAGGTGTCTCTGTATGCTGTTTATATTATTTGGTTTTATTAGCTGTCCAGATTCTTTTTGGTTTCATCGTGTATAGGCATCAATTGCTGATGTAGATTGTTGTTACTACGGATGGCATGTTTGAAGAGGTATTGTTTTAACTATCCTATAGTCTTTTATGTTTTATTTCAATCGTCTTGTAGGGCATTTGTTGATTTATGCAACTAATGGTCATTTCTCGTAGGTCTCTTTATTGTTCTTATGGTACCAAATAGACTATTGCAGTTTTAATTTCGGTATTTGTGAATCTGTTAACGTCTTCCAACTGTTTGTGGTCTGAATTCTTCAGATTTGTTAATTTTAGGTTGGAGCTTGTCTCTCAGGTGTTCACTGTGAAGTTTAAGCTGACTGAGTCAATTTTTAGAATGGGCTTCATTGTTTTTGATCTGAGTCTTGTATGCGATTTTGTAAAGATTTCGTCTACATTGTATTCAATTATGCCATATTTGTATATTGATCGTATTTTAATGAATACCTTATTCTATATATTTCAGAGGAATTTCTCGATGCTACAACACGTGTATGGTTGAATACTACAAAAATGAGTGAAGATTGCCTTTATTTAAATATATGGACAAGAGCAAATAACAATAATTATTCAAATGATCACTTCATGCTTGAAAGTAGCGCTGTATTCGGTCCTAAAGGTGGTCGACCTGTTATGGTATGGATACATGGTGGAAGTTTAATTCGAGGCTCTTCATCTATTGAAATGTATAATGGTGCTTATTTAGCTGGAAAAGTAAGTCATTTAGAAAAAAATTAATTATATGGGGGGTTTTTTCGCTCTTTTTTTCATCATGAATGAAAGATTTTACTTATTTGTGTGTGTGCGTGTGATTATATTAAGAATAAATACGTTTTTTGCTATAGGTTAAGATGTTTACAATAAAGTTATACCATATTGATGACCTTGAGGGACTTATGAACCAATCAAAAAACAGTGTTTATTATTCAACAATTAAAACATTCGGATAAACAAGAAGTTCTCACTTGAATAATGAACATTAACATATTGAATTTTCTATTTATGAGAAACTCAAAAGAGATAAAAAGATATGAATGCAACTAGAGTTATGAATTAGAGTTAAAACAGTTAGGATTAATAGTGTTGATGAGCTAGATAGATAACTTTTAAGGTACTTCTATCGGTTATTAGGTTCAAAATAGGATTATGAATCTTCTCATTGATAGTTAAGACTGCAATCGATTATTTATTTTGGTATAAATGTATTCTATGTGGATTGCCTCTATATTTCCATCAAGTCATAAGCATTATTAGTAGAGATGGATAGTGGCTAGCAGTGGAGTCCAGGACGCACGTTTTATCCCTATTCCGGACGTGTCATAGGCTGGATGCACTCACATCCAGAGTTGATCTTCACTCCATGACTCAAATCCAAAACATCATCATGTTATCTACTTAGCTACTGAGTCCAAATAGCCACTAACTGGTTCAAAGAAGTAAAGATTGATTAATTTGTATTGGTTATTTAAGTCTTCCTATAGACTGAAATTAGTATAATTAAAGTTTCCATTATGAAATGAGATAATCTACACAATTATTACATTTATTCACAGTTGTACAAATTAAGCCTCAATAGGCAAGGGTTATTTTACATTGGTTTTCAGGAAAACCAAAAAGAGTGCCCACGTGTTAACACTACAACGTGAACAGTTCGGCATAATCCCGCGGCGCAACCACACAGGTACCTAACATCCTGGACGACCATTCACACCATTTATATACACTAGATATATATAGTGATTATTTCTGTTTCATGATCGCATCAATCAATATGCGCATCATGAACAAGCCAGTTTGACTCATCCTGATTACATGACTGTTAAACTCATTATTATTAACAATGGTGATATGCAATACAGTACCCCAATACTCGGAAATAGCTGCAAGACATCCATCAGTAATAATGAAATCGGTTATCCTGTTCACCAAATATGTATATGGAATATTAGCAATACTTACCCAAAGTAATGCCAAACCGTTCACAATGTTCACAACGAACCTCTGGTCTCATAGGAAATCTTCAGCTCTATACAGCAGTATAGCATATGGTATACACATAGTATGGGCATAGGATGATAGCAAGAGAAACAGTCCAGCTTGATACGAATGGGCTCAAACAGTCTTATTACCCTTTGTCTCATGTCACTGTAGCGAAATTTTCATTTTTCAACCATATGAGACGTGACATAATCTACAATGCCTGAATGATATTTATCCAAATAAATAAATGAATGGATGAATCAATTTCATGCCAACATTTAACATTCACTATTTAAAATCTTATTGATTCATCCACAAATTATATAATCTTTTCACTTTATTGTACATTGAATCATATCAAGTGTAGGTAGTTGTTTTAATTTGTCTTATGCATAAAACATATACCATTGACTGTAACAATTGCAAGCAAATATATTTTTTAATTCATTTTAACTATTTTTACTAATCATAAAATGATACAGACTATTCACTATTGCAAATCGATAAACTGAATAATATTAGACAGAGAACTAATTGAATAATTATCCACTTTATATCATTGTCTTTAAGAGAGAACAAATGTAGGGAAATTATGATCTGCACAATAAATGATTTTTATGTTTAGTTCCAGAGTGACTTGAGTTGAAAATAAATGTTGACTTAGAGACTACATAGTGTTATGCTCGTCAATTGATATGCTTGAAACTATTATGAGTTCACCTTAGTTGATAAATGAGAGCGAAGACAAAAGATCCAGTGACACGATACGCTACTCTAATCCAAGCGTCCCACGGTCCCACTAAATAGAGGAAGAAGTCTTGACAAGACATAGAAAGTGTATTCTACAAGCACCCAGAAAATATGAGGTTGACAAGCACACAAATCGAGTTTATTTATTCATCAGTGAAACGCCCTTGGGAGAGCCACAAAAATAGCTTACTAAAATAACACATCAACCAATAACAGCCAAGGATTTTTCGGGTGGGAAATGTAATCTCAAGGTCAACTGATCAGCCCATGCGCGAAAGCCTAAAATCCAAAATTAGGATCTTTGTCAAGTGAATTCTGGGGATCTAACGTCCCCAACACATTGTCTAGTGTTCAGTGCAACCAATTAAGTTTCAAAGATCAATACCGTTAAAAAACAAACATTACAGATTAAGAAGAGAGTATTATAACGAATTTTCGGTCGCTATCAATATATCTTCGGTTTGTTTCATTTTATGAATTAAGAACGAAGTATGTTTGTTCTGTTCCGCTTGACTGAGTCATTTGATCGTAGAGTCCATAACTGACACGTTTACACTCTTCTGATCAATACTCTTTCCTTTTATCAGCGACCACAATAATCAAAAATAAATGACCGAGAAATCTTGTATCCTGTATTCGTCCATTTAGATTCCCCAATGTAAATAATTAACTAAAACATCAAAGTACAAACCGAAATAATTTCCACTCAAAAGTTATCTTCATTTATTTAAGTAGATAAAGCTGGTGGCCAAAAATGAAATCCAGGAATGATGTTTCGTTCCATTTAGAACTTGTCAGCTAGATTTATAGATAAAGGCAGCCAATCAGAAGTGAGTGAACGAGAAGGTCACTTAATGACAATTCGAAATGTGACGAATACATATCACTTGTCAGGAAGGAGGAATGTATATTTATCAATGAGTATTTATGTATAATATTCGATAGCCACTTTTGCCTTCCAGTCCAAGTAGCAGGTTTTAGGTTGTTAGCACATAATGCTATCAGATCATGGGGATATTGTACATCATAACAGTTTTCTTACACACTTATACATGATTCAAAATCAACAATATAGAACCAGATTATAAGCCAGATAATAGTCTATGCAACACAATAAACTAACAGCTTGCTGATACACAGTATTGAATGTGCTTGTTTATCTTTGTCCACTAATCAAATCACTACTCATAACGGTAGAGATGGGCACAGAATGTCTGTCTGTCTATCTATCCATTTATTACACAAAATGTATGGGTACATAAACTCGTTTCAAGGGGAAATTCCCGATGCTCTAGTGAGAAGCAGAGACTACCGGAGTTCAACCGTGTCAGGTGTAAGCAGTTATCTAACGAACACAGTGGGTGGGTTTGCGGAATATCATGGATTGATCTAAGATAAACGTTAGTACCATTGGATGCCAGCTTGGTAGTTAAGAGGTTAAGCGTTTGAGTACTGGAGCGACTATCCTGGGGTTCGATTCCTTGTATGGGTATTTTGGATGCATACTTCTGAGGAGTCCCATAGTAGGAGGAAACGGCTCTCCGTTGCTTCCAGGCTTTCATTGGTGGTCTAACATTGATTGATTCCTGATTCCACTAAAAATTTATAAACTAAGTTGACCATTCGTTCTATGGTTGATTGCCAAACAAACCAACTCACTAGAGTCACTTTACTTACTAAATTGATTTACAGAATACATTCATTTAGCAAAAAGATTGATCACTACATCAGTCCATACACTAAACATTGCTCATGCTTATCACAATCTCTATACATTACAGATATGATCTTCTGAGTCAATTTTATGTGAAATATATCTGTTTTCCAAAAACAATTTGATTTGATGATGCTATTTTAAAAGTTCAATCTATAAAATAAGTTACTCGATTAGAATATTTTAAAGAAAACATTGAAGTTAGTTGACCTCAAATGTATCTCACTCTGATCAATGCTGTTTTGTTTCTCTTTTTTATTCTTCTTGTTCTTCTTTTTCTTACAGATGAATGTTGTTGTTGTCAGTATACAATATCGGCTTGGACCATTAGGTTTTCTCTATTTAGGTGATAATGAAATACCTGGAAATCAAGGATTAATGGATCAAGTTGCTGCATTACAATGGATTCGTGAAAATATAGCTTATTTTGGAGGAAATCCACAACAGTAAATTTAAAAAAATTTTGATTATTTTATGTCTTTCCAATCTTAGTTATTTTTTGTTTAACTTGATAAATTTCAATTTGGTGCCATAATTTATTTTGTTTATTAAATCATACTACTTACAAAGTAGTAGGTTTTTGTCAATAAAATAAGTAGATTATGGCTAGCAATACAGTCCCTGTTACATATTTCATTCTATTTACGATTAATCAGTCAGATGTACAAGTTGTTTTCTAATGTAGATGTTCTCAAAGTGACTAAAATCTAAGTACTTTTTTCCTTAAAAATTCACCTTATCCACTGTCTCTGATAGGCACTGCTTCACACCCGACAGAGTTGAATTAACTTACTTTTTTTAACTTTGTTGACTGAAATTCGATCAGTCTTTGTTGATTTTAGTACATTTTTTATAGAATAGATAGACTAGACCCATAAAAATTATGTTGGAATATTTATATTGAGGCAATCTACATAGGTTGCATATATCCTACCAAAAATTGGTCAATTTTAAGCCCTTTAGTAGCTCAGTGTATAAGGTTACCAGTGTTTTGAAGTGAAAGATACTGGGTTCGAGGTGTATTGAGAACGTTAATATTAGAAGAAGACAGATGTAATCAGCTAATTACTTGTAAATAAGAGAAAATATGTATTTTATAATCTATTGCTAGTTATAATCAACTAATTCTACCAAGAACCTGTTACGTTTTGTTAGAAATATGTTTTTGCATTACGAGGTTGTGAAGATTGTTAAGTTACACATTTGAAATCATGGATCGATCATTGTTAGACCATCATTAGAAACCTGGAAGCACTGGACGGCCGTTTCTTCCTGGTATGGGACTCGTCAGCAGTGTGTAGCCAAGACTCCTGCACCTCGCGCACTATTATCAGCCCAAGAAACGATTAACCCCTAATTTGTGTCATGTTACGAGATGTCAAATTACCTGGTTAGGATCCACATAATAATAATCGTGATCAATAGTTAAATAATTTGAATGGTATTGCTAAGAACTGTTCATAGCAACCCAGATGCACATAATGTATACTTCTTTTTCTTGGACCCACTATTAAAATGGATAATGTGACTATCTCAAGGACTCAGAGATTTATTTTGATTATTTCTTTTATCACTGTTTGGTGTCAGTATAATTTGATGATGTGAACTGATAGATTTATATGTCAAACTCTAGATTCCTTTTGACTGATTGCATTTGTAGTGTGTGTGTACTTTTATGTAGAGCCCACAGGGCTTGTTCCTGAGTTAATATTCACTACTTACCTTTTGACCCAGTCAGTAATTCTCTCAGATCTTGGTTGTTTTTGCTTGAATATGTGTGTGCACACTTATCTCGCTTATTTAAGTCTGATCATAAATGCTTAGTCATGATCTATTACATGGAGTTGGCTTTCTCGATCTCATGTCATTTTCACTTTCGCGTCGTATACCTGTGGTTTCGTGATCTAGGCGGTGTGCGATAATAAACATCTTCAAACCTTCGTATTCGTCTTCTAGTTTGTACACCGTTGGGCGTAATCTAGTAATGGTTATCAGGAAGAGCAGTATACAAAGTTAGGGAGTAAACCGAATGCCAACCTCCACAGAACTGGTGAGCGTACATCCACCACGGAATTGAAGAGCCCAACGACGAACATAACTCATCCTACAAATTCGATCATTTCTTATCAGAGTGTTACAATAATTTTGCAAAAAGACACTCTCAAATTGTTATGTTGTTTAATTTACTCTTTTTTATTCTTCAAATCTATTATAGAATTACACTTTTTGGTCATTCCGGTGGTGTAATCTGTGTTGCATTACATTTAATCTCACCAATATCGAATCATTTATTTCAACAAGCAATATTACAAAGTGGTTCACCATTAGCATGGTGGGCTGTGGAAAGTTCTCATACAGCTTTAGAAAAAGTAAATTTTTATTGATTTTATTGATAACATACATTTATATGTCCATATTCATGTTCCATGATGTTTGATAATTTCTTAATTGTCTATGTTCACTTTTTTCGTATCATTTCTAAGAAACGTAATCAGTATTTTAAACAAAGTTGTTCAATATATCACTTTTTTGTTTTTATTGATTGTTGAATAAAGAAATCAATCTATGGTATTGATAATGCTTAAATTAAAAATCACTTTGATTAACAACATCGACCAATTTTTTGGTGAAAATGCTGACAAAATGCAGAGCCTTCTGACCACCTTTAAGTAACAATGTGAGAATGTTTGGAATGCGATTCTCCCTTCCAAATGCAACATGTTGCTTCAGGATTGGCTTGTGATGGCACCTGAACTAGTGATAGGGATAGAAGTAGTTGAGCATGTTAACTGCTTCACTTATCTTATCATCAGTGTTAGTGGTTTGGGATTTGACGAAATCTCGCTACAGATACAGAGGGCTCGACTATCTTTTGCCAACTTTCGTCATTTATGGCATAGGCGAGATATATCCGTCTAACAACCAAAGAACTCTGGTACTGCTCATCAGTTCGCTCCACCCTGCTTTATGGCTGTGAAACATGGCCAGTAAGGTTACTGGTTTTCGATCATTGACGTCTTTGAAGCATTGCCTCTATATCCTGGAACCGTCAAGTAAGTAATATTGTAGTTAGGAAACGAGTACTAAGTAAGAATGACAGGTCAATTAATGAAGTATTGAATCGTCATCAGTTGAGATGGTTGGAACATGTTTTACAAATGCTCAACCACCGACTGCTTCGACAAACTATTTTTTATGGTGTAGGGGTAGTTTGGAAAAAACTAGGAGCGGTTACACCTAAACATGGCACAAATCCATGATGTCCCTGATAACTGGACAGAGCTACGGTGATAGATGTAGACTATCTGGTTGTGGTCCGCGAGAAGATAGTAACGAGTAGTTAGAGACTTTGAATGACATGGCTCATAATCGCCTGTAATAGCGCATATGCATCCGTTCTGATATTTTGAATTCCTCATTACCTTTTTTCTCTTTTCAAATTTATCTCGCTAGATTTTACTTCTCCAAGCATATCTTCAAACCATAATCTTCTCAGTTGCTGCTTACAAGTCTACTATCTTTATTACTTATGGGATTTGAATTGACCATTCGATCTCCCTGTGTGCCAATGTAGTGAACAGAAGGGCTGCTCTGGGTTAGACCGAATCGAGACCATATGTGAAAAACTCATAGCTATAGATACATATAGTGTGAAAAATCAGAAATAATATGTGCCAGTCAACATCTCTCACTTATAACTTAGCCTATATCTGATTAGACTAGTGTATCGTATCCATCCACACTTGACTGATAACGATTTTTTTAATTTTCCTAATTCAGTATATCACTTTAATGTTGAGAAAATACGATTGATTGGTCCCAATACAGTGACCAAAATGTCTCATTTATATGATCTATCAGGATTTTGCCGATCAAACTGCCAATCGTAATACAATTTCAATTGGTATGAAATTGATGAGTGCCAGTAAGCACGAAGCCTACTATAACCAGGGTCTCCTGTCGAATACTCCTTGCAATTTAACAAGTGAAAATGTACTTTCATGAACTTATCGGGAATCGATTATCTAATCACGTTGTGTGCAAATTTTTATCTTGTTTTATTTTGCCCATCGAAACCTCTTTTTGGGTTATGAAACGTATACATCATCATTTATATTTTTTAAATTCTATTTCATCGTAATTGTATTCATTCTATTTACTTACTATTCACATGTTCGCTTCCATGACCCCTATGAGTAGAAATCGAATTCAGGACTTTCGATATCACGTGTGGACGCTTAACTTCTTGACCACTAAGTTGGTATTCATTGATGTTAACGTCCCACTTCAATCAATCCATGATATTGCGCAACCATTATCCATTGTCGTTGCATGGTAATTGCCTCCAAAACCTACACGGTTGAATTTCATTGGTCAAGACTTCTTACTAGATCTCTAAGAAATTCCTAATGAAGCCAGTCATGGTAATTTTCACTAATCAAGAGGTTAAGCGTTCACACGCAAAACTGAAGCTATTGGGGTTTGACTCCCTCTCATGGAGTCATGGATGCGTAGTGCAGATGAGTCCTGTTCTAGGATGAAAGCGCTTTCCAGTGCTCCTAGGTTTCCATTATGCTCGTCAATTCATATGCTTGAAACTATTACGAGTTCACCTCAGTCGGTAAATGAGAGCGAAGGCAAATGATACAGTGACACTGTAGGCTACTCTAATCCGAGAGTCCCAAGGCCCCACTAACGGTATCAAAAAGCCTTGATATGGCGTAGAAAGTGTATTCTACAAGCACCCAGAAAATCGAGGTTCGAAAAGCACACAAATCGAGTTTATTTATACATCATAGAAACGTCCTTAGGAGAGCCGCAAAAATAGCGTACTAAAATAATACATCAACCCATAATAGCCAGGGATTCTCCTGGTGGAAAATGTAATCTCAATATCAACTGATCCAAAATTAGGACTTTTATCAAGTGAGTGCCGAGGATCTAACGTCCCCAACAATATCCGATAGTTGTCCAACATTGATCAGTTTATGATTTCAATGAAGCGCAATCATCTCCACAACCTTATATTGATAAACTACTCAAAATGATGACATTTATTTCATATTAGGAAATGATATAATTCTATTGATTGTTATGTCTCATCTATTTTTTTTTAATTTATTTTAGACACGTTTATTAGCAAAATTAAGTGGTTGTAATACGGTAACCGATTCAAATAATCAATACACTAAAGAATTAATCAAATGTTTACGAAGTGTTGATTCCGAAACACTGGTTATCAATCAATGGCATATGCATTTATTACGTAATGGAGAGAATTCGTCAAGAACTAATCAATTGAAAAAATTATATCGAAATAGAGCAAGTCATCATGTGTGTGTTTGTGTTGGGAATTTGTTAAGCTAGCATTTTTGGTTATAAAATGTTCAAAACACGAATATTGTTACATAGTTTCGATTATGTATTCTAGATTTTGTTAGCCTGACCGTAGCTGCTACCTTGACGCTGTGGTGGTCAGGCTTGCCTGTCGTGCGATCACCCAGCCGAGCTATATTGGCTGGAACATATGTTCCTGTAGGGTCTACCATGCCAGGCAGGTTGATTGGAGAACGATGAGACTAAAATCAGCTACTCAAGGTCTGAGGGCGAAATCGTACTACTGACTGACTGTATAGAGGTGTGACAGTAGATTTTGTTAGGGAAACAAAATGAAATGCAGAAAGTATTCAACAGTTATTACATCTTAGTGTATTAGACATGGGTAATAAGAATGTGTACACCTATAATCCTACTGTAAGGGGATTGAAATGAAGATTTTCAAATTGTGCGCTAAATAATTAATGTTTAAATCATTAAGTTAATTTCCAATGATTGATACAACTAACTTTAATTGGTTGATGATATTACATAACCATTTTCTATGACATTTGGTAGATAGTTGAACACTACTAGTGACAGCTTCTCATGAGAGGATTTTGAAAATTCTGTCTGAAAGTGGTCTTTGTAGAGCATATGTTTACAAATATATATATTTAAAAAATTACTCATCATTTTTCATCTGATAAGTAATTTTGTTCAAACTGGACGGTAACTGTTTCACAATTATACATTTTCAACATTGTAATATATGAAAAAGCTAAGATCAAATGTTGAGAAATGGTCAAAAGTATTGTGGTGGAGTTTCGTGCTCTGAGTTGGATGTTTTGGTTGTGAAGCTTTCATTGTTCTTCTTCTGAACAACAATATCATCAGCACAAACTTCAGATAGCAGAAATGAAGTATTCGAATTTCTCCACGTTTGACCCGTAGCTTATTCTGTTAACCTCGATTTTTATTGGTTGTTATTGACCTTAAACCAGTCGTTGTTTTCACCTTCATTTTGATTGTAACCTCCTTTGATCGGTTTCTTGATTCTATCTAAAAATCATCTACAAAACAAATTGCTCAGATTGTGAAAAACATTACATAGGGCAACCTGGATGTCCTCTTTAGCTTCGTTCACGTGAATACCAATTATCAGTCAAATGCCACGACAATTATTCGCTTAAATCAATAGATACGGACATTTATGGACATACATTTGATTGGAACAATGTGGAACTATTGGATAGAAGAAGTACAAAGAACACTAGAGAATTTTTAGAAACTTCGCACTCAGGTAAATTAGCAATCAACAAACAATGTCGACACAGACCCAATTTATCAAGCAACCAGAAAAATCATAGGCAAACATAGGAACAAGAAACAGATCAAAAGGGGGATACAATCAAAACAAAGGTACAAACATCTACAGGTTTAAAGTCAATAACAACCAATCAAGATCGAAGTCAACAGAACAAACTACGAATCAAACGTGGAGAAATTCGAATACTTCACTTCTTTACCTGAAGTTTGTGCTCATGACGTTGTTGTTCAGTAGAAGAACAATGAAAGTTCCATAATCAAAACATTCAACTTGGAAAACGAAACTCCACCACAATCATCCACTTGAGTTACAAATTTTCCCCAGCATCTCAAGGTCAATGAAGGTTGGATGTCATCAATCGAATTAACTTACATAAGTCTATAAGTAGTCATTTGTATGTTAACAGACAAAATGACATCTCCATTGAAAATCATGCTCTCTTATATATAGCACTGACAAATTGAATGTACGGAAAATACTCTCATATTTTGATTGGACATTGAAAAAAACAATGTTCATCCTCATATGAGAATTTCAAACGGATATCTCTTAACTATTGAACTTATAATAACAATGGACTAAATATTCTTTAGATATGTTTTTAATAGGTTAACTATTTCCCATCATACCCGAATGTATTGATTTTTATTGATTTTTCCCTACAGCTTCTAAGTACTGCTGGTTATTATTTTGATGTACCATTTAAACCGGTAGTTAGTGCACCATTTTTACCTGAATGGCCATATGAAGTGTTAGGTTCTGGTAAATTAAACATACGTCATCGTATTATGATGGGAGTTAATAGAGATGAAGGTTTGTTTAAAAGTTATTTTTTTAAATGTGATCTGTGTTCAATTGTCAATTTAGTGAATGTAGTTTATTTTTGAAAAAAGATTGATATGGTTTCTAGAAATAAGTGAATATAAGTAGGAATTTTTATTCTTAATATTAAAGATGAATATGACTAATGGTGGCCTGAATTTTCATTTCACTGACAAGTATACAATGTGGATAGTTAAGAATAGGTTATATTCTAATATGCATTACGGGGTTGTGAAGATTGTCAAGTTACTCGTTGAAATCATGAATCGATCAGTGTTTGGCCACCATTAGAAACCTGGAAGCACTGGATGGTCGTCTCGTACTGGTATCGGACTCATAAGTAATGAGCATCCACGACTACTGAACCCCGTGCGACTCGAAGCCAGGACCTCCGATCTTGCGCGTGGACGCCTAACCTATGGACCACTGAGCCGATATTCGTTATATATATTATAAGATATTTGAATCGCACACCGAAACCTGACAGTCTTATTCTTGATTCTGATTGGTTTTTTTGTACAGAATACGTTAATTTCAAATATTGTTTTGTCATTATTATTATTATTATTATTACTATTATTATTATTATTATTATTATTATTATTATTATTATTATTATTATTATTATTATTATTATTATTATTATATAGGAATGTATCATCTTGTACAAAGTTTACGAATGTATTTTATGTCACCTGGTTTATGGCCACAAATACCAAGAGAATTTCGTCATGATTTAGCATTAATGGATCCATTAGATCTGTTGGCATTTTATATTATGGATGAAAATTTTCTCCAGTCAGTTTTATTACAAGCTACTGTTTTTGAATATCAAGTAAGTTATTTTTTTAAAGAAAGTGTGTGTGCATATCAAATTGATGAGTAAAATATGAATCAATCATTGTTAGACCACCATTAGGAACAGGGGAAGCATTTTGTTTTGTTTGTTTTGTTTTAATATACGACTCATCAGCTGTACGCATTCATGATACCCACTACCGGGAATCGAACCTAGGACCTTCGATCTCACTCACCATTGCACTGAGCCGGCATCCAATGGTTTTAATGCGTAACTTTGATCAATTCAAACTTACAAATGTATACTGAATGGTAAATCAATACAACGTAAGATTTAATGATTCATGAAGATGTGAGGGCGTGGATCGGCAAAGCAAGCTCTGCATTTATACCATTTAAAAATATCTGGAACTCCAAACAAATATCAATCAACACCAAAATCAGGATTTTCGATACAAATGTCAAGACAGTTATACTGCATGGAGTGGAAACTTGGAGAACTACGAAATCCATCATCCAGAAGATGCAAGTATTTGTTAATAGTTGTCTTCGCAAAATACTCTGGATTTATTGGCGAGACACCATCAGGAACAACGTACAGTGGGAGAGAACAAACTAGATTGCAATGGAGGGGGAAATCAGGAAGAATAGCTGAAAGTGGATAGGACATACATTGAGGAATGTACCTAACTGCGTCACAAGACAAGTCCTGACGTGGAACCCTTGGGGTCAAAGGAGAGGAGGCAGGCCAAGGGACACATCACTCCAAGAAATGGAGACAGACATGAGAAGAACGAACACCAACTGTGTGGAACTAGAAAGGTAGGCCTCGGACGGAGTTGGTTGGAGGATACTGGTGGGCGGCCTATGCTCCATTGTGGGTAACAGGCGTAAGTAAGTAAGTAAGTAAGATTTAATGAAACAAGTTACAAGTCACTGTATATGTACATTAGTAATAGAGTTAGAATTTCAATGTCACATTCTTGAAATACTCAAAATAATCATATTTTGACAATGTGGCCAAACTTACTGACTTACTCATCTACACTTTCATCATGATGAGACATCATAATTCTTCTTCCAACTCCCAGGGCAGAGTTAAAATGGTTTCAATTATTTGTTTTGGTTAGCGTTTTTTTGGCGACTTAGTTTTTTTGGTAGGATGGGGTCGCCAACCCTTTGTGCAACCCTCCTCCTTTATCCGGGATTGGGACTGGCAGTGGCCCCGAAGGGGTCTATAGGCGGGGATATGTTAAAACTTAGTCACTGATATTTTAGCATAAAATAAGAAATTTCCAATTATTTAAGAAGTTTATATGTTTCATATATACTAAAACGAAATCAACTTTAATAAGCTTACAAGTTTGCTAAATACTATAAACTTAAAACCGAATGACATAATATGAAGAGGATATTGGTCAGATACAACGTAGAACTTCGTACGTAAGTACATCAGTTCATGTTGCCATACCACATTAGCACAGAGATATAATTGTCAATTCAAATCCAATAGTAGTAGAGGTAGTAAAGGTATCAGAAGTAAACGGAGAGGTTAGGATTAGAAGATATTATTTAAGGAGTATGATTCAGTGAGATAAGTTAAGAAAGTTAAAACTAGAGGTGTTGAGGAATCCAGAAGATTAGGATTTGATAGAACACAGAGAATAAATGCACCGGCGCCATCGCAAACAGTTTTGAGCCATGTCATTCAGGGTCTCTAACCATCGATTATAATCATTTCGCGGACGCCAACCAGGTTGTCAACAACTACCGACATGACTTAGTCCACTTGTCAATGACTTCATGGATTGCTGCCATGTTTTAGTCTGGCCGCTTAGATAAACCGATAAACTTCTCTTAAAAATTAGGATTATTGTAAGAAATTCATTTAATCCATGTATACAATGTTGTTGCCAAGAAAAACTCAAACTCAAATGTTTTTCATAGCTTCGAGGCTTTAAAAGAAAACAAGACTAAAAATCTAATCTATTATAACTGATAGAATTTATTAATCATGTGAATTGTGAAGTTTCATGGAAAACCCTGTTATTTCTGTAAGTTTTTCCGAGTTATCATGATTATTTCTTATCACAGCTTAAATTATAAACTTATCATCAAAACCCTGGAAGTATTGACCAAGATGTTTCGTCCTCAACAATGTGTATCTATAATTCTGTTACAGAGGATTGAACATAGGAACTTCAGTCTCGTGACTAAACGCTTAACTTTTAGACTGCTAATAATTTATTTCCTGAAATAAAATCTATGAACAGGTTTTTCAGTATGTTTGAAATCATAACTCTCAATTTTTTAATGTCATTTCCTAGATTCCTAGCCGAGCATTAGGTACTGGTAGTTGGACATCATTAGAAGTTGTGAAAGCCTTGAATGAAGTTGGTGGAGATTATAATATAAAATGTCCAGTTGTTGAATTTGCTGACTTCTATTCTCGTGGACCAAATGCACAGGTATGATTATTGAATTATATCAAAGATGTGTTTTATATAAGTTCAGAATAGTTTTTTAAAAGATGATTGTAAATAAAATGCAAGCATTTTAGATCAAGGATAAGGATCGTCAAACATGTTGGCTGTATTTTGAATACAAAGTTTTGAACTACTTATAAGTAGATTGTGGTAAGCATAAAAATGTTTAACTTACAAAGACTTCAGACTTCCAAATATTAATTTGAGTTTTATTACACACAATTAGTTCTCTTGATAAAATTTTATAAAATTAAGACATATTGGTTTTATCGTTTCGTTTCAAGCAAGTTTTTTACATACTACTAATTTATATAAATACAATATTTCATTGAAAACATGAAGAAAAACTTTTCACAACTTAGCTGATTCACCCTTCTGTGAAAAAGTGTCCTTGGCATCAAAGAACACTATCTTTATGAATATTCAGGAGTTGTGAAAGACAGACTTTTGATATCTTTGTGAAAAACAATCTGCCTTTATATATATATATACATATATTCCAGTGATATACTCACAGGCACGTGCCATAAATCTACATAGATATAGAAGTTTCCGCTCGCGAGTATACGTTACATGGATATACATAGAGCGCATTAACCGAAGCACAGACTGTCTTCTGTACCTATAGGTATAGATATCTTTACCCCAAGCCTTAGCACAGCTGTATTTGTTGTACTGACTGACTATAGAGTACCCAAATCAGTTTAGCAAATGGGTTGTCAGTTGACAGTATATTCCTTCATGCTCACGTCGCATTAGCGTACTGATTACGGAACAGGTTATGTTTATCTGTCTGGTCCGTTTCAATCAAATCTAATGATGCTATCTGGAGATAATCCAGAGAAATCTAAAAATGAGATTTCTGTAAAAACCTTGTCACATTTATCTTTACAGATCATTTCTTTCCGTTTATTCAGAGTTAGGATAAAGTGGGGGGGGGGATTAGCCCGAATTCTATCAAGCCACCTGCAGTTACCTCTGCGAGAGGTTGATCACACCTTACCAGGGAGTACATATTTCGTAATAATCACTTTCCTTTTTTTTTCGTTTCAAGGTATTTCTTTATTCATTTGAACATCGTACATCTGGTTTAACATGGCCTGAATGGACAGGTGTTATGCAAGGTTATGAAGCTGAATACATTTTTGGTGCTCCATTTAATCAAGCATTTACTGATAAATATTATAATTTTACTTCAGAAGAAAAACGTCTAAGTGAAGAAATGATGCAATTTTGGACAAATTTTGCTTCTACAGGGTAAGTCATTCATTCCAAATGATTAGTAGATGAAATGAAAACAAATGTTTTTAGTAGTTAGATGATAGTGAAATCATCAATATTAAATCACTAATAGAAACCTAGAAACAACGCACAGCCGTTTCGTCTTAGTACAAGACTCATCAGTGGTGTGTATCCACGACCCTTGCATGCAGAAATTGAACCTAGGAACTTTGGTCTTGCACACGAATGCTTAATCTCTAGACTACTGACTGGGTATCCAATGGTGTTAATATCTAATTTCAGTCGATTCAACGTACTGCGTAACCTCATCCATTGTCTTCGATAGGTAACTGCCTTTACCCTTCAGTTAGATGATACTTTTAATGAAGCATACTTACTCATTTACGTACGCCTGTTACACCCAATCGGGAATAGGCCACTGACCAGCATTCTCTAACCTACTCTGTGATGGGCTTCCGTTGTAATTCCACCCAATCGTTGTTCATCCTTTTCATGTCTGTCTCTATTTCTCGGCGTGATGTGTTCCTTGGCGTTCCTCTTTTCCTTTTGCCTTGAGGATTCCAGGTGGAGGCTTGTATTGTCACACAGTGGGGTTCTTTTATCAATAGGTTTCCTACCGACTTCCAGCAAGTCTTCCTGATTTCGTCCTCCACTGGATTATGGTTTATTCTCTCCCACAGATGGTGTCTGGTAAGCGAATCTTAAATATTTTGCATAGACATTTGTTAATGAACACTTGTATTATCTGGATGATGGCTTTAGTAGTTCATAGTTTTCAATGAAGCCATCACTGTTTTATTGAATTAAACTGTGAGTAGAAATTTTATTGATTTCAAATTCTGTTATGAGAACAATTAATTAGAAAAAAAAAGATTACATGCAATTAAATTTTATTGATTGTAAGGCATAGATATCCATTTCCATCTTTTCAGCCTGGTTCGAATAACTGTGTTTCGTGAAAATGATGATTTGATTTTTACTTGGGAAAAGCTATAAATGTACTGTTCTCAGAGAGTATTTCAAGTAGGAGGATGATTCTCTCTCCGGCCTATTCATGTACTCATCTTTGAGTGTTTTTGAGAGCCATTTGAAAGACTAATATCAATGATTTGCTAATCTAAAGCAGTACGTACTGATCAATAAGACACACATTCACTGTTACATTAGTTATGCAATGATTAAAGATGTTTGTAATTATAATATTTTACTTACTAATCATTCAAATTTTCAAATTTTCATTCTATCGATGAATATATCGAATTCTTTTGGATAAAAAAGGCAAAACTTTTAAGATGGTGGAGAGAATTTGTAGACTTCTATCTGAAGTATGTGATGATGATGTTGTTGTTCAGAAGAATAATGAAAGCTCCACAACTAAAAAATCCAGCTCAGAGAACGAAACAGCGGCACAAAGTTGAACTTGATAAACAATCAGCCATCTCATTTTATTATCGACAGTCATCGAAAATTCTTTAAGATAGAGCTAATCAAAAGTAGTGAGATTACTGATTGTAGTTTCAAATAGAGTAGGATAACTAAAAAAACACCTAGTAATTGATCATGTTCGTTGTGTTGAGGAAGACACCTTTGTTGATAAATTGAAATTACCGCGAAATATAGGCTTTCATTAATTCAGATAACCTGCAATGTAGGAGAAATTTCTAATTGGTAATAAAGAGACAGGTTTACTGAACAACTGTTCTTTCTGTTCGACTTTATAGCTGTAGAACGTAGTCTTTGGAACCTAGATATTCAAAGAGTACTATTATTTGATTAAAAATACTTCCTTGCGTATTCAGGATTTTATCTAGTAACCAACGCTTAGGTCGATTGAGATGGTAGTGAATCCTTGTTATTCGAAGTGTTGAGAACATGTATTATACATGCTAAGCTATTGCCAACTTCAGAGTGTGATATCTTCTTGGAAAAAAAGCTAATGACAACCAAACTACCATTCGATATCAGTGCACGACTTCATTGACTATCAGCATAGGATTGTGGAGATTATTGAATTACTTATTGACATCATGAACCAATCAATGTTAGACAACTGCTTGAAGCCTATAAGCACTGGACGGTAGTTTCGTGCCAAGTATAAGACTACTCAAAATCAGTGAGCTCAGGACCTTCGGTCTTAAGCGTGTGGGGTCATGGATGTGCACTGCTACTGGGAAGTCCTATTCTAGGACTTAATGCCAGTCTAGAGCTTCATTGACCATTGGAACAAGCTATGTGGATAGATACAAACTACCTGTTAGTGTTCATACGATAACCACGATCAATGGTTGAATTACTTAAGTGACATGACTCAAAATTCGTCACACTAATACAGATGGGTTCATCTTTTTCCTGTCATGATCAATGGATTTTTAACTTACTCTTCAATAATCTCAAGTATTTATAACTTCTACTACTATTGATATTGTGATTACTTCTGTTACTCTGATCTTCATGTACTGATGCGGTTTAAAAATATGATCAGTTATTGCGTAATGAATATATACCTAACTGACTCACTTAAGACTTTCTTCCTATGAACAGTGAACAATGAATATAATTTCATTCTGCTTGAAATATATCACATAATGCTAAATCGACTGAAATTTAAACAAGTTGTTTGAATCAATAAAAAATACTGTAAATAAAAATTCAATATTTTTGTTCACTTGTCATGATTTTATTTCTCTTGTTGTTACTGTTGTTAAATAGGTCACCAAATTTAAATCCTGGAGAATTTCATACACGTAATAAAGAACTCTATTGGGATCGATATGAAACTTATTCACCACAATCTGTGGCAATGCTCAGTGAGTCATCCGCATCATCAGCATCGTCATCATCGGGACTATCCTCAACCACAGTATCAAGTAGTGAATCACCATCATCGTCAACATCATTACTGTCTTCAGAAATTTCCTTATTGAAAACACGAACTGATGATTCACGTAAACATATGATATTCACATTACCACATTCATATATGAGTAAAAATCTACGTAGACATTATTGTATGTTTTGGCGTGAACAATTACCAATGTTAAGAGAAAGAATTTTATATAGTAAGTAGAAAAAAGATCTTATATATTAATATATTGGAAATTTGCATAAGTGTAATCAACGTTCATGTTTATGATTTTTAAACTGTAAATAGTAGTAATCTGTCAGTCAGAATAAGCTGTGATCAGTTAATAAGTGAAGGTAGACATTTTAGCTACTCTAAATATAAGAGACTATCTGATATGTGAGTTGTATCTGCTAGACTATTGTTATGTTGTATGATGCTTTTAACTTTGAGTGTGATTGTTATTTGTTTCTTTACTATTGATCAGATTAAGTGATTCATAGGTTACTAATATTCGATCACAAGTGTCTTCAAAGCATTGCTCATCTCTCCTGGGACAATAGAGTAAGCGATGATCGTATTAGTAAAAGTGTACTAGACAAGAATGGCAAGTCAATTGATGAAGTATTGGAACTTCATCAATTGAGGTGATTGAGCTGTGTGTTACGTATGTCCAACCACTGAGTACCTTGACGAGCGATGATATATGATGTAGGGATGGGCTGAAGGAAAACCAGGGGCGGAAAAACCAAAACATGGCACCAATCACTGACAAGTGGACTTATTTAATTTGATAGATGTTGACTACTTGGTTGGGGTCCGCAAGATGATATTAACTGATGGTTAGAGACCCTGACTGACATGGCTCAAAATCACTTGCAATGGCGCAGATGCATTCATTCTTTGTCTTGTCACAAATTGTAATCTTCCTAATGACCGGTTTTCTAATCTTTTTAAATTTATTTCACTGGGTTATACTTCTCAAATCTTATCTTCAATCCCTAATCATTTTGATTACCAATAATTCTGCTGCCACCTACCCCGACCGAAGCTGCTAAACTGACGTGGTGGTCGGGCTTGCCTATCGTCATGACCAAACCGAGCTATATTGGCTGGAACATATGTTCTTGAAGGTTCTACCATGCCAGGTAGGTCGATTGGAGAATGATGAGACTAAAATCAGCTACTCAAGGTCTGAAGGCGAAGTCGTACTGCTGACTGTAGAGGGGTGACAGCAGTAAGATGTTTCCCTCAGACAACCAGCATCTCAAGCGATTCTGCCTTCTCACAAGGAAGGAAATATTTGACAGGAAACCCTACTTTGATATTGATTTCGTAAAGTTATGTGACACGGGATCAGATTCAACGGGAAGCATCAACAGCCTTAAGATAACATGTATATCTTGTTGATAAATACTAAATAGCGCGGAATCTAAATCCACGGTTTTCTGTTGATTATCTCCAACCCACAGCTTATACTTGAAGGATTGAACATCACTTAGTTCTTAGTATCCACAATAAACCGCTGAAATCTTATGTGTATGGTTGTCCATTCACCTACGTTCAATGACGATAATAATAATAATAACAGTTAATCCGTGTCCTTCTTTGAATTATGTTAAAAAATCCTTATTTTTAACCAACAATCAAATACGTCTTCTCCATTCCGTAGTGTTTCACATCCAGAGTGTAGCTCTATTCAATAGTCGTTCATCCTGCTTTCCTTAACTGAATAGAGTAATGTTGAATATTAGGCATTGTCTTTTAATAGTTAGGATTATTCCATGAAATTTTCATTCAAATTATCATTAACTTTATAAATATTTGAAGAATCTAAACTGAGGTTTGGATTTAAGAATAACTGCCAAGGAAGTTTAGACACGCATCTTGCCCAGTTGAAATCCGAAACAAGTGATTTGGGTAACTAACGATTCTAATGTTAATCATAAATATAAATATACATCATTACCTAAACAAATATTACCACTGTTATTCGTTCAATGATAACACAGAGTGTTTCCAATTCTGGAAGAGTGCTCCAATTCACAATCAAAATGCACACTTCCATTCAGTGAAATGGTTCCAACCAACAGAAGAACAAAGCAATATGGCTGTCGCCATAACTAAGTATGCTTGAGGCTATTACGAGTTTACCTTAGTCGATAAACGCGAACCAGACTTTTACCAGCGTCCAGGTAGGCTACCTTGAATCCCCAAAATAGAGTAAGAAGGCTTTGTAAGCGTAGGAAGTATATTCTGCAAGTATACAACTCTCGTTTATTTATACATCATAGAAACGTCCTTGGGACAGTTAAGAAAATAGCACAATAAAATGCACAGCAGCCAATCACAGCCATGGAGTTTCCTTGTGGGAATTGAAATCTCAAGGTCAACTGATCAGCCCATGCTCGCAAACGTGAAAACCAAAATAAGGCATTTATCAAGCGAATTTCGGGGATCTAACATCCCCAACACTATGTATCAGCTTAAACAACATAACGCAGTTCAGAAAGAAACGTAGAAACTCAGTAAACGCACAAAATATAGAAATTATAATAAAATACAAATACTGTCATCTCCAAATGGAATCGAACAGATTAACAAAATGTACAACTGAGGGAATCAATAAGGACATATTACAGATGTATACACAGGAGGGATTTTCACGAACAAAGCCTTCCGAAATGGATCTTACATATCTAACTAACTATTAATTTAATAATCTTATTCATTGAAACATTGAATATGTTTGTTTTAATAATTCTATTTTCTTTTAAAAAAAATGGCAATTCAATGTGTACTCTAGAATTAATCACCTAATAAAAGTTGACGGTGTAGTTTACTTAATAAACAGAAAACATGTTTCAATAATCAATACTTTGTATACATTGATTATTAGACAATTTAAAATAGGTATAGTCTTCAGTTAATTTATTGTTGAATATTTGACCCGATTATCATGTTGATTCATAGTTAGTATGAATTAAAATTCATTTTCATTAGATTTTTTAATAGTATAATGTATTTTAACTAAATTATTGAAACTTTATTGAGTTATATTCTAGTTTTTCAATAATAATTAGAATTTTTGTAATCATGAGTCGATCACTGTTAGATCATCATTAGAAACTTGGAAGCACTGGCAGGCCGTTTCGTCCTAGTATGGGACTCATCAACAGTGCGCATCCACGACTCCTGCAACTTTCAGGATCTGAACCTAGGACCTTTGTTCTTGCAAGCACACGCCCAACCTCTGGACCATTGAGCTGGTCTCTTACGGTGTTAACGTCTTATAATATCAATCACATTTTGTTATACCCAAAATGTTACAAATGTAGAGATTTTTTGAGAAAGTGTACTTGATTTTTCCTAGGCTGAATATCAAAACCACATTGGTAATCAGTTACAAGATAAGATTTTTAGCTGAAAAATTTTAATAAAGTTCAATTTATGGATTGTTGAATTTTCAAACATTCAATCAGGATCTATTTAACATTGATCAGTGCATGATTTGAATAAAACTCAACAACCTATACAACCCTTTAATGACAATTAACGTCATGTGTTGACTATTGATTAGATTGTTTAGGAAATTCCCAGAGTTCAATTGAGAAGCTATGATTAGTGGAGTTCAATCCAGATGAGTGTAAAGCAGTTACCCACTCAAGACAATGAATGACGGTCATGAACTAGCGTGGATTAGTTGAAGTTCAACGTTAACACTAGAGAATGCCGGCTCAATGGACAAGAAGTTAGGTGTTTAGGAGTGATAACTTGACAAAGATATAGGTTGACCCAACTATCTAAACTATATTAGGACGAATAGATGAAATTAAGAAAGATAAATTACGAAAGAGGTCAAAATAATGTAACAGTTTTGGAAGAAAAAAGTCACAAGAGGTTGAGCCTGAGAATTCTAGACTTCATCTTACTGCTTTGATATCCATCACTACCAGTCTAGGTGTTAAATAAATGTAGCTAACACTTAAAGCTAAGCCAAAAAAGGCCGTATCTGACTGACATCGAATAGATATCCCCTTTACATTGCAGTCAAACTTTCAGATCAATAATCTAATTTCATTTTTTAATTTCCTCAAGTAGAAGTATCCTTCTGCAATTTATAAAATGAAGAACTAACAACCTCTCTTACGCGTCTAACAACAATTGACTAGTTACATTTATGTGAAATATTTGTCACCCCATAGCTAGGTTAATAGGGCTATAGCGTTTAAAGCAAACAGTACAGGGTTTAAGTAATTCAAAATGAACATTAACTCAAAGATGTGTTGGGTACATCCAACAAATCAGTCTCAAATAAGTCAAAACATACATTGTGGATTCTACTGTTAGCTACCATCTAATTCTGCTGAAAAACGTTTGTGATTTAATGGAAATATGAAAACAATACTGCATAGATTTACATCTGTTCGTCAATCGCACGCACACCTTAACATCAACAGCCAAATGATTGAAACAATGCTTATAAATCAATTCCATGGTTGATAATTATTATTATGACTGTCATATCATTATTATATTTTAATTGCAAAACGGATAAAAATCATTCATTTATACCTCTTTTATTACTCGTCGTTACTTGTTTTGTTTTGTTTTTTGTGTGTGTGTGTGCTAGATTCCGCGTGTAAATCACGTCAACCAATAATGACACAGCATGGTGCAACAAGTGATCCACAAAAACCACCGTATGTTGAATCATTCAGTACACTTTATCCAAATATAATTAAATCATTGGAATTCAATACAACTAAACGTAATCAAGCATCAGATAATTTCCATTTAAAAAGCAATTACATGTTAGGTATATATATGATGATTTATTGTTACTATTATTATTATAATTATTATTACTACTAGTACTGCTAATCATTAATGACTGACTGGTTGTTGGCAACAACTCATTGAGATTTTATGAAGTCTTTTTTTTTATTGCTTTCATGGTTGTGATTTGATTATTCTGAGATGAATTATGATGGTTGTGAGTAAAAAAACAAATTAAATTTACATTTTTTTTCTTCATTTATATAACAATAATAATAATCGGTTGTGATGATTTTATTGATGTTTTTTTCTGGGTTCTTTTCTTGTTTTTTTTTCGCTTGTTGTCGTTGGTTTTTTTTCGGCGGGTACTTTTATTTCAGTCAATCGTTTCTGTTGATAAAAATTAGAAAATTTATGTTGAAATTATGGTTTTTTTTCGATTGATATCAAATTATTCAATCATTTTGTAATTGATTTTTTGTTTTGTTTAAGTATAATATATAAGGTTGTGAAGGTCATTTCGACACTGAACATTTTCTTGTGACCTTGATGCTGATGCATTTAAACAAGCTTTCTTTTTGTAATTCCCCTACAAGGTTGTGAAAGTTATTCAATATTTAACTTATTACATTTTATTTATTTGACAATTTGACGCATTTTAAATCATCAGATTTTGTTCAAAATCAAATTTCTGTTTTTATCATCAAGTCAATGTTGAATCTTATGGTGATTTTGGTTAACTTTTAACTTTTAGCTACAATTCAAGCTAGTCAGTATTATTGTTAATAATAATAATAATAATACTTATAATATTTATTTCAGTAGTATATGTTAAAAAAATTGGTTGTGAAAAATGTTTTGGTTGTGAGTAATAATCTCTTTTCTTTTTTCCACTTATTATTGATCAGTGTGTTTTTTGGTTGTTGATTTTTTTAAAAAAATATTTCATTTTGTTTTAATTTATATTTTATTTAATTTGTATTAAACAACAGCATGTTGGTTAGATTGGTTATCCAGAGAAAAATTTGAAAATCTTATTGAACATTGACAGTTTTTATGAGCATAAATATATATATTACTTATTTATCTGTTGTAATAAGTTTAATTTTTTTTGAATGATTTAACATGATATTAGTAATGATAATAAATTAAATACCTAATAACAGAAAATTTCAATTACTTGTTTTACTGCTTATAAGTAGTATGATTCATGCCTAAGAGTTACGTGGTTGTTGGTAGTAATAATAGTAGTAGTGTGGTGTGAGCTACTTATAAGTAGTATATGACGTGAGTGTCAACGTAATGTCTGGCAGCAGAAGATGGGGGAAGATCAAAAAAGGAAGAGTTAGAACACAATGGAATTTGTATGAAACGCATGAATAGTGACAATGGATTGATGTTTTGCAACAGGAACAGTCCAGTTCGATATGATGAACTGATATTTTGCAAATTAACGATTTACGATATGGTGTTCCGATTTTACTGAGTAACTCTGTGATTTTCCGGTTGCCCCACCTGTGTTTTCCTTCACTACAGTAGTAGTAATAGTTAGGAGATGATTGTATGTTTGAAACAGTATGGAGTGATGCAAAACCATTGTGGTTAATTTAGACATATTTGTTCTTGTTCAATCGAAATTTAAAACAAAGTAGTTGAATGAGGAATGGTTTCATCTAAATTTGTGTACGTTAATATATATTATTACTTAAACAAATATCACCGTCCAGTCATTCAATGAAAAATGGTTCATCATTTCAATGCAAACAAGTAAACAGGAATATGATTCCATCATATTGTGGGGGGGGGGTGGTAGATCACGTACTGTTTACCCGAAAGTTTATATTTAAATCTTTGGGTAATGTCAATAGCATACGATCAATGGTTACATGTTACAAAAGAGAGTTTCAAGTTCTGTAAATGTGCTTCAATTCAAAATCTGAAACGAAATGTGAAAATCACGTCAATTCAAAGTAATACAATCAAAAAATGGTAACGAATCAATACGAAAGTCATTTTACTTAAGGAGAGAAAATTATCTAATTAACAGTCAAAAGATCAACAGATCAGTGTGTAACGTTTAAAAAAAACTAAAAAAAAGATAAAATTTACATTTAAAATTAAAGTAATAAATTATGATAGAAAAATATATACTTGGAGGCATTTTCACACTTGTTTCGTTTTTCTTTAACTTATTTTACATATCAGTAAGTGATGATGCATGAACATCAAGCTCTTAATGTCGAAGATTTATTCATAGGCAAAGACAATTCTCGGAGTTCAACCCTAGCGGGTGTAGGCAGTAACTACCAAAGACAAATGGGTGGGGTCGCGCAAAATCCCTAGATCAATCAGAGTTAGACATTAACACCGTTGAATGCCGGCCCAGTGGTCCGAGGGTTAGGGCGTTCGCGCACAATACTGAAGGTCCTGGGTTCGAATCCTGCGGGGTGCAGGAGTCGTGGATGCGCACTGCTGATGAGTCTCATGCCAGGACGAAACGGCCGTCCAGTGCTTCCAGGTTTCTAATGGTGGTCTAACAATGATTGATTGATGATTTCAAATGTGTACAAAAAAACAAACCTCCAAAACTCTGCCCGAAAAAAAGACAATACTGCCAACGAAAGAACGCACAATTCGAAACAGGAAATGGGCACTACCGTGTAGATGAACAATAGTAATAGTGAAAATAACTTATTGACTTCAAAACAACCACCTTGGTTGAATTTCTCACCCATGGGTGTAGCAACAGCAGAAAATACGACAAGATCAGGAATAAGAATACACTTGTATCTTGTGGAAGATGCCTTTCGTAGTTCTCCAAGTTTCTGCTCCATACAATAGAACTGCCTTGACATTTGTATTGAAAATCCTGATTTTGGTTTTGGTTGAAAGTTGTTTGGAGTTCCAGATGTTGCTCAATTGTAGAAATGCTATCCTTGCTATGCTGATCTGCGCCTTCGCATCTACATCGGATCCATCTTGCTGGTCAATGATACTACTGAGATATGCAAAGGTTTTTACGTCCTCCAAGGCATCTCCATCAAGAGTGATTCGGTTGGCGCATGTTGTATTTTATTGGAGGATCTTGCTTTTTTCTTTGTATATGATGAGACCAACTGCTGAGGCTGCTGCTACACTGGTCGTCTTCTCTTGCATTTGTTGCTGCATGCTAGATCATCTGCGAAGCCCAGATTATCCAGCTGTATCCTGGCTGTCTACTGTATACCGTGCTTCCTCCAGATGTTGATGTCTTCCTAATCCAGTCGATCACCAGGAGAAAGAGAAAGGGTAAGAGTAAACAACCTTGCCTGACACCGGTCTTCACCTTGAATGCACTAATTCTTGTCGATCGGTAACCGTTTGTGAGTTAGTATATCCTGTGATATGAGTAGAGTAGGTTTCTAAATACCAGCACTTATCACATTATGAGGTTGCAGATCAGTTGGTTGCAATATGGAAAATAATAACTATAGAGTGCTAGTGCTAATGCTAAGTAAAAGACAAATGTTTCAAAAACTAAATAGAGCATAGAGCATAAGCAACTGACCAGCATTCTTCAAAACTAACTTGTCCTCAGACTTCTTTTCCAGTTCTATCCAATTTTTGTTCATTCTTTTCATGTCTGCTTCCAATTCGCGACGTAATGTGTTCTTTGGTCTGCATCTTTTCAATGGCCTTGAGGATTCCAAGTGAGGGCTTGTCCTGCAACGCAGTTGAGTGCTTTTTGTTCAATATGTGTCCAATACACCTCCAGCACTTTCTCCTGATTTCTTCTTTAGCTGGAATCTGATTTGTTCTCTTCCAAATTAGGTTGTTGTTGATGGTGTCTGATCAAGGGATTCTTAGTAGACAACTGTTATTAAACACCTGTATCTTGTGGATGATGGCTTTCGTAAACTGAATAGATGCAGTGAATTAATTGATCTATAGGGCAGATAATGTGAGATGGCCGAATTGTAAGGATAAAAAGGGAAACAGTGATGATAGCAATAACTGAATACTGTTTATATTTCAACTCCCTATGCATATTTAAATGAGATAGAATTAAAAATAGTGAGTCAACAGTTATCTATTAGTCAGAAGGAAATTTGAAGAATTACCAAAGCAATCATCTAGAAGATACAAGTGTTTATTAGCAGTTTTCGACGCGAAATACCTCAGATCCGTTGACCAGACACCATCAGCAACGACCTACTGTGGGAGATAGCAAATGCAGTGAGTCAGCAGGTACTTATAAATCTTAATACCCTGTTATAGGATATTCACTGTCGTAGAAGTGGCTGACTGTAGTTGTACCGGGTTTTACACTTTACACAAGCTTCGACAACCATAGATTTTTCGAAGGAAAATTGGTGAAAGTAAAGCCATAAAAAATTAGTTTAATCATGGCAGCACAGAGGATAGTATCGAGAATAATAAGGCTGTTTGAGGTGTTTGAGTAATGAAATATACAGGTAGGATTATTGCTAGTTAATGTACAACATTTTTAATTTTGGGGTAGAGTTTTGGAGGTTTGCGTTTTTACACATTTGAAATCATCAAACAATCACTGTTAGATCACCATTAGAAACCTGGAAGCGCTGGACGGAGGTTTCATCCTTGTATGGGACTCATCAGCAGTGCCGGCCCAGTGGTTCGATTGTAAGGCGTTCGCCTACAATGCCGAAAGTCCCATGTTAGAATCCTGTGAGGAGCAGGAGTCGTGGACGCGCACTGCTGATGAGTCCCATACCAGGACGAAACGGCCGTCCAGTGCTTCCAGGTTTCTAATGGTGGTCTAACAATGATTGATTGATGATTTCAAATGTGTAAAAACATTTTTAGTATGCGAAATAGGTAGAAATAAAACATATGGAGGGATCTGTCAAGTTTGGTCACGAGCTATTTTAAACCAATCTTTTTCATTATACACACTTATTTTTGCATACATGAATATCACAAACAGCATATGAGTGGAAGATGTCCAAGGAAGCTTCATACATCGACTGTTAGAATATGATCATACTCCTAATTAGACAGCTTGATGTAAGCATCGGTCTGCAGAACATATATTGTGCTATCGACTGAAGAATAACAATTTTCCACAACATAATATCTGGGCACTCATTTCTTACTTTCCGTCTAATACTAAACTACGACTCTGTTGAAAGATCCACGAACAATGCATATACACTACTAACTGTAAAACACAAAAATTCAACAAATTGTATTTTATTTACAACATGGTTCAGCTTATTGTGGAACAGACTATCAATTTCTCTCTGTCTCTGTGATACAATCATCAGGTTCAAGAAACTCATGACACTGTTCATAGTTCTAAAGAGACTGATTAAATATTTCCAGACCTCCTATGCAATCACGAGGCCTATTTTTTTATAGACAATTAATATCTAGATTTATCCTAGAAACTATTAACCTACCAGGGATATATTGCGCCCCTACTGTGATTCAGGCAAGTATGATCAAATGATTAGTCATGTGATTCCCCTTCTCCCACTAATCATAGTAGATCATGCCTTTTATGCACCAACCGCTGACATTCTGAGTTTCTTTTCATAAAGTTTCATATGCCGTTTAGTTTTTTCTTTCTAATAGACAAATAAATTACAAAATCTGTAGATGCTGTTCAAATATCGTCGATTACACGAAACTCAAGCTATCATTATGAGTTCCTTATAGTTCATGTGCTATCAGTTCAGTAAATTCTTATTTCCCCAATTTATTAACATTCAAAAACCTCACTTTCTTGCTTACTTATCGCTTGAATCATATATTTTTTAACACTATTTCTCTTCATTTTCTTTCTTCAGCGATCTATCTTTCCAATTTTTCCCAAACTACCTTCATCTAACAAGTTTTACCATTAGTTAACTTAATATCAGTGAGATATGCTACATGAATATATACAATCCACTATATAGAAGTTTAAGCTGTCTGGTTTGTTTGTAACATTGGAACTAGTAAAGATAGTGTATTTATACAAGGTGTGCAAAAAATAGAGCTTAGACTAAAGCACAGCTATAACTTATCACAAACGTACAAGAGGCTAACATCACAAAAGGAAAGAGAATGGTGTATATGACCAGTAAATATGATAGTGGGGTGATAACCTCAATCGACACATGTCTATGAAACAAAACATTTTGTTTGCTTACAGCATCTTACAATCTATCAGCATGTATATAAACACTCATAATGATTTTACTTTTCCATGTCAACCAGCTCTTTGACTAGGGTTTGTAAACTTGATCTGATTTCACTTCCTACCAACAAAGGAGTAAGTAAAAGTGGCAGAAAAAAATAATGAATGATGCACCAATTGTACATCAAATAACTTTGCTTTCTTTACTACACTCTGTAGATCTAAAGAAATTTTAACAATTCAATTCATTTAAATCTCCTCTACTCATAGAGTCATTAGTCCATTTGTCACCACATTAGCGACTTATTTTCATCAATCCATATAGATACTTTTGCGGATGTTAGATCCCCAGAACTAACTTGATGAAGGTTTTAATTTTATATTTTATTCATGGGCTGATCAGCTGACCTTGAGATCACATCTCCTACCATAATAATCCTTGGCTGTGATTGGTCACTGTGTCATTTTAGTGTGCTATATTTGTCACTATCCCAAGGACGTTTCTACAATGAATAAATAAACTTGATTGAGTTTGCTGGGTGTTTGTAGAATATACTTTCTATGCTATATCAAAACTTCTTTGTTAGCTCCTTTGGATCAACGGGTTAGAGTTGCCTACCCGGAAACTTGTTCATTGTCTCGTTCTCGTTTACTGACTCAGTCAGTCGCGTGCTGTTATGAGTATGAGGGTGGTTGTCAATTCCCGGCTGCCAACAGCGTGGAAGGTTGTTTCTTGAGGGACCTGAACAGAAAGATAGATTAGTGTTGGTCTTAGAGACCTAGGAGCGTGACCGCAGAGCACAAGGGAAAACTGCTTCAGACCGGTCACGCACGGCCTTTTATGAGAGGTTTTTTGAGTATTAGCTCCGCTCTTGAAAGCCCTTAGTGGGCACCCTTACCCTACCCGTGAGGTAGGGTGAGGAGCGACATTTTTAGGGTCGACCGTTTCTAACCCCTTCCTTCCTTGTGAGAAGGCAGCATCGCTGCAGATACTAGTTGTCAGAGGGAAACGCCTTACTGCTGTCACACCCCTCCATCACAGTCAGCAGTACGACTTCGCCCTCAGACCTTGAGTAGCTGCTTTTAGTCTCATCGTCCTCCAATCGACCTGCCTGGCATGGTAGAACCTTCAGGAACATAAGTTCCAGCCAATATAGCTCGGTTGGGTCATCACGATAGGCAAGCCCGACCACCACGTCAAGGTAGCATCTACGGTCGGGGTGCCCGTTGTAGAAACAGTACTAGTGGCAGACAATGAAACAGAATGTCTTCGTTGCATTTCAGAAACACAAGTCATGTGCGCATCATTAATATCTTTATCGGGCAGCACTGTCTACCGGCAGTTACCAACAGACACTTTCTTCCCATCATCAACAAAGTGACTGTCAATCTGAGAAGAAGCAGTCAAAGTTAAACAACCTTGTATATCTTCAATCATTACGATAGACAAGCCCGACCACCACAGCGTCAAGGTAACAGCTACGGTCGGGCATTTATAGACCAAAGTGAACCCGTAATGGTTTGAAGCATATCAAATGACAAGCATAACAAATACAATTCAACCAAGAATGATCTGAAATAAAGAAAAATGAAAATCCAAGCCAGTGAGTTTGATCCTTTCCATTTTGCCTATCAATAATCATAACAACGTTCATGAATTTTTTTTGAAAAACAAAACAAAAATATTCACCATATAACATTGACATTTGTACATAAAGTGATGCATCACTGTAATTTTACATTTATGAAATTGTAATGTTTGATAATAATTTTTAAAAATAAAAAAATTTAAAAATTCATTTTGTTAATTTATATATATATATAATTAACAATATGTAGACCAATTAATTAATCCTCAAACAATGATTTCAACATTTGGATTTCTATTCATTATTCATTTCATCTGGAATAAATTTTTGAATGATCCTGTAAGAAGAAGAAGAAGAAGAATATAAAATATATATGAAAGTACATTATAGGGAGTTAAAATAAATATACGCCTTCGCGGTATTACTAAGGTAAAGTCAGATAATCCAAAAGTCAAAGAAAAGATTAGTCTAGATGAAGAAGTATAATTATCGCTAGTCTCGTGATATCGAAATAATATCGAGACTAGAGTAGTACAGGAGAGGCTAACAACCACCAAGGAGAGGAGCGGAATGGGAAAAAACACGCTTGGCGCACAAGGGATAGTCTTTAGTACCGATATACTAAAGGAGTACAATATAATAATTGTCGTCAGAATTAAGTACAATAATAAATGTTTATATTTTAGTAATTGTGTTATCTTCATAAAAGTATACCACTATAATATGAAAGGAATACTATGCAAGATAATGAAGATCCGTTGGCTAGACACGATCAGCAATAAGCTAGTAAGGAAGAGAACAAACCAGATCCCAAATGAAGAAGAAATTAGGGAAAAGTATTCGAGGTGGATACAACACACATTTAGGTAAGTACCCAACTTCTTCACAAGACAAGCCATCATTTGGGATCTTCATAGCCACAGGAGAAGAAGAAGATCAAAGAACATATTACACCGAGTATTGGAGTCAGACATGAGGAGAATGAATAACTATTGGATAGAACTGGAAAACAGGGCCCAGGGTAGATTAGGTTCGAAAATGCCGGTAGGCCTCCTATGCTTCACTTAGGGTAACAGGTGATGAAAAGAATTCATTTATAATTGAACTTATACATGTTATATTGTTGATCATGTTATGGGATTACTTTTTTTGCTCCAATCCTAATTTAAATATGATTAGTCAAACGAAATTATTTTTTGACATTTGAATATAAATTATTGAACATTGATATATCATATCAGTTGCATAAATCTTATAAACACATTGTGTACAAGGCGTCACAAACTTGAACCCTGATTATACATGAACGGAAGTTAAAACGTATAATCATGTGAGTAAACTAAAAAGACATATGGAAACTGGTCAACTACACAAAGGTAACAAATACTAACATACTTTAAATTAATTACTTTGTTCGGTACTTCAGTAGAGTTAAATAATAGAAGCCTTCTAAGAAACGTTTGTTCCTGTAAATAGTCAGCTCTGTGGTTGTTAAAAACTAGCTTCAGATATAATATGTTCACGGGTCAAATTATCATGAGCAGCAGATAGTAGGGTTAACTTTATATTTCAATAGATCATTGAAATTAGTAAACAGAAGTATCATATACATTTCGTATTTGTTTATATGAAATCTACACAGTTAAACATGACATATCAATGACAAACGTTTATTATCAGCAATTAGAAATAGTAACGGTAATGTTTCTCATTTGACGTGTAAACGTTTTGAAACCCATATTATAGGGTTATGAAGATTGTTTCATCTCATTTAAATCACGAATCGATCAATGTTAGACCACCATTAGAAACCTGGAAGCCCAGCGAGGCCGTTTTGCTCTAGCATAGGACCCATCACTGTGCCCATCCACTACCTTAGCATATAGGATTCGAACCCAGGACCATAAGTCTCATGTGCGCTAAAGCCTAACTTCTTAAGCACTGAACAGGCATCTGATGGTGTTAATATCTAATTTCAATTAATTCACAGTCTTACGCAACCTCATTCATTCATTGTCTTCAGCAGGCACTGCTTCATACCTGACAGGGTTGCATTCATCTATGTGTACAATGAAAATGTTATATAAACAATAAACAGACACATTGCTATCAACTTGATAACAATAAACCTAACACACATTAATAGTAAAGTACATACCTTTTTTCTCTTTCTATTTAGTTGTTGAGTTTAGAATAATATGGTGGTGGTGGTTGCTGTTGTGGAAATTCAGATGCTTCAGGATAGGGCGGCGGTTGATCGAAGTTAGGTGCTGACGATCCCACTGCTGCTGCTGCTGCTGTTGGCATACCACCCTGTGATGAACTTAAAGGATATGGAGTTTGAGATGTACTCATTGGATATGGGATCTGAGATGAATTCATTGGATATGGGGCTTGTGCAGGAATATTAGTAAAATTTGAAGTTGGAGTTGGCTGAGATCTAGATAAGCGATTTGGTGTTGCATTTGGTATAGTGCGTTGTTCTGTGAAAAGAAAGTGTAAAAACAAAAAAAATGAATTTAGAAAACAAAAGTTTGTTTCTTTCATCGCTGGTAGCCCTTAAATGTCATGGTACGATCGAGAATGGGGATAGCTCACACTTCCTCTCGAAATATTCTTATAACGCCACTGCTACGAGAGTCTGACTCACTGCCTTCTCGTTGCAAAGGTGTTATTTATGAACTTAAAATGACGGGAGGCTAATATCCGTAGCTTAGTAGGTTCAGAAGATTCACCTAGGATTCCAAACCAATGGTGTACGTGGATACTAACTGAACGAATAGAATGTGAATGTGTCCTTGGTCACCAATTAACATGAGACAACATCTCTTAACGTTACTCCAGCGCCTTGAGAACTGAACCCCTTGGTGAACTGATCAAAAAGTGACCCCTTTAAGAAAACCACTTTGTTTCAGTTTGAGCAGTCAGGTAGTATCCCATCCAACACACAAATTGAACAATTCGTCTGGCACACAAAAGCCACTTTGTACCAGTAGTTATGTGCTTAGAAAATAACTACATACTGATGCTGTGATTTCTTCTTTGGTCTCCTATGTTATCGTACATGTTTTCGGTCATCATTTGATTGAGTACAACAGCGAACTAATCTATTTTCTATCTACATTTTCTAGTTGACTACTAGATTGAGAAGGGTTCAGAGCACCAATAAGCATTATGCGAAACATAGCCGGTAAGAGTAGAGGACATTTGTAGGTTATTAGTATTCGACTATAGATGTCTTCGAAGCGTTGCTCGCATATCCTAAAACAACCCAGTAGGCAATGCTATAGTTAGGAAATGAGTAATAGGTAGGGATGGCAGATCAAAAGATGAAGTATTAAAACTTCATCAGTTGAGGTGGTTGGGTCACGTGTTACGTATGCCCGACCACGGACTGACTCGACGAGCTATGTTTTGTGGTGTAGGAGTAGGTTGGAAGAAATCTAGGGGCGGCCAAAATTCATAAAGTCACTGACAAGTGGACTGAGTCATGGTAGTAAATGTAGACTACCTGGTTGGGGTCCGCGAGACAAAAGTCACCAATGGTTAGAGACCTTGGACGACATGGCTCGAAATCGTTTGCAATGGCGCAGGTGCATTCATTAATTGTGTTCGCTCAAATCCTAACCTTCAGAGTTCCTCATCATCTCTATCTTTTTTTTCTAAAGTTATCTCACTGAATTATACTTGACGAATCATATCTTCGAACCCTAATCTTCTCCATTACTGATAATACTTCTACGATCTCTACCATTATGGGATTTGAAACGACAGTTGCGTCTCTGTGGTGACGCAGTATGGCCACCTGAACTTATATACTTACCTACGAAGTTCTACGTTGTAGCTGACGGACCAATAAGCATTACGTTCTTGATTGTTGTTCAATGGTCAATGAATCAAATTTTTATTTAGTTCCATTGATAATATAAGAAAACTAATTGACAGTTGAAGTTCTGTCTAGTTAATACTACATGTGATATTGATTAGCATTCAGTATTGTGCAGAAATATTTATTACGCAAAACAAATTTCAAATTAAATCACCTAATTGTTTACATTTAATTAAAAAATTTGATGGTTATTGTTATGCTCGTCAATCGATATGCTTGAAACTATTACGAATTCACCGTAGTCGGCAAAAATGATCGAAGACAAATGATCCAGTAACACGATAGGCTACTTTAATCCGAGCATACCAAGGCCCCATTAAGTAGAGGAAGAGGTCTAGATACGGCGTAGAAAGCGTATTCTAGAAGCACACAGAAAATATGAGGTCGATAGTACACAAATCAAGTTTATTAATACATGATAGAAACGTCCTTGGGAGAGCCACAAAAGTAGCCTACTAGAATGAAACGTCAACCAATGACAGTGAAGGATTTTCTGAGTGGAAAATGTAATCTCAAGGTCAACTGATCAGCCCTTGCATGAAAGCATAAAATCCAAAACTAGGACCTTTATCAAGTGGGTTCTATGGATCTAGCATCCCCAACAGTTATCGTTATTCAATGATTGACAACGAAACATCATCAAGATATTAAAATGAAATCGAATTATTAGTGTGTATCGAATTTGTAGAAATTATTATTTTCGATAATTGCGTCTCAAAATGACCTTAGTTAGACAATTGCTGAAAACTGTCAAGTATTGGGCAGATGTTTTGTTCTAATATGGGACTGTTCAACGGCAGTATACATCCACGATCCCATCACACTGAATCGAACCTATGATCTTGATACCGCACAGTGAACGCTTCTTAATCAGTACATCACCAAGTTAGCAAACAGTAGTTCACATAATTATCAATCTTCTAAGACGTCACCATAGATTTGAATACCATGTCATGAAATATATAGCTAACTGATAGAATTACCTAATTTCAATGTTCATTTTCAATCCATACACACACACACAAACTGTTGTCATTGTTTTCATCAAATTATTATTGTGTATATTTTCTCATTTCATTTAACTTGTTATTCAAAATGTTTTCCATTCGGTCTTATGAGATAATAATGACACTCAGGTGAATGAGAGCTGCCTAACTCGAATTTGAAAAGCAAATATATATATATATATATATATATATATATATATATATACCATGTATATACCATTACGGAAAGAATTTTATTGATTTTTCTTACAAATTAATTTTTACACCATGAAAACGATACATGTCAATGCAGATTTCATCGTCAAGGTCGAAAAAAAGAACAAGAATTTCAAATTGTGGAGAATCAATAAAACAGACTTATTTTTAACAATTCCATTTTTTTTTCAATAGTAAACCAGTAATATTTCATTTATTTATTGGGTTTATCTACTAAGTATAGTGGAAGAGGTAGTCAGTCATAGTTATTGAAGAATTTAGAATATATGCGTCAGTTCAAATTATCACACTACATAAACACTGATATTCTACCGTAATACCAGTAGTAACATTTGTGTTGGTGTTTGGTTCTTTAAGCTGAATGTCTTGGTTGTGAAGCTGTCATTGTTCTTCTGAACAACATTATCAGCACAAACTTCAGATAGAAGTGAAGTATTCGAATTTCTCCGAGTTTGACCAATAGTAACATTTCAAATGCTTTTAGAAAGCATTACGGATATACAATATAATTTGAAGAGAAAATATGACAGTATAGAGTTATAGAGATTGTTACATCTCATTGAAACCATGAACTGACCAATGTTACACAATCATTAAAAATCAAGTATCATTGAAAGACCGTTGTTTTGTAGTATGGAACTCATTGGTAATGTGTATTTATGACCTAACAAGCTGGAATAGAACCCAAACCCTTTGGTACGAACTGACAAATATCAAGTGCCTACTAATGATTAGATTCTTGAAGAAATTCTCTGAATTCTAGTGAGAAGCCATGATTAATAGAGTTCAACCGTGTTGGGTGTGAGGCAGTTACTCATCGATGACAATGGATGATGGTTGCGCAATAACATGGATTGATTCATATTACACATTGACACCGCTGTGGAGCTTAAATGTTCACTTGTGAGACAGAAGGTTTTGAGTTCGATTCCCTTGTGAACAGTTATGGATGTGCATTGTTGTGAAGTCCCATACTAAAATGAAACAGCTATCCAATGCTTCCAGGTTTCTAATAGTGGTCTAACGCTGATCAACTCCAAATAATAAAAAAACCCATCTAGACACACTGTTATATATCTACCGATTATATAGAATTTTCTGCAATTTTCAGTAATTTCATTGAAATCATGAATGGATCAATGTCAGAATGTAGCATCTCATCATTTATTTTTGATACTTCAATGATTAGTAGTTTAAATTATCCGAAAACAGTATCGACTATTGTATACTTGATTGTGTCTGTGTTTTTTATGCTTACTTAATTATTACTTATCTAACCTATCATTTCTTGACTATAAATACTTTGTCATTGTTTTGGCCCATGAGAGTTGGCTCATTTTCTCACCTTCTCCGATCCCCTTCTCTCTGCTGGTACGCTTTCCATTCTCATGTCTGTCTGCAAAAATGATTGCATGAAATAAATTCATCCGTGAAACCGTATTCTGTTTCTTATTACCACCGTCACACAAATGGGGTTTGCCTAAGTATGATCTACGGAAAACGACAGTAAAATTAATTTCATTGTCCACTCTGGAGTCTAGTTATGAGCCGCTAAAAGACCACCATTAAGAAACCTAGAAGCATTGGATAGCCGTTTCTTTTTAGTGCGGGACTGCTTAACAGTGTACATCTATGATCTTGCAAGTGGAAATGAAAACCAAAGACTATCGGTCTTGTGTATGAACGCCTAACCTCCAGACCAATAAGCAGACATTCGACGGTAATAATGTCTAACTTCAAATCAATCCACATCATTGCCTAACCATCATTCATTGTTATCGATGGGTAGCAGTCTCACATCCGACACGTTTGAACTACATTGGTCTCGGCTGCTCACAAGAACTCCAAGAATTTCCTCACGAATCTAATCACTATTGAGCACATGATATTTATCAATATAAGGCTGCTCAGATTGTTAAAACATGGTATAACTCACTCATATTTACCTACATACTTACATACACACATACATAAATACTACTATTAATACTAATAATTATAATACAAAGTAGAAAGTAATTTCATTCATTCATTTTTAGAAAAAAACAAACTATCCAAAAGTTTCAACATTGAACATTAATAGACTATGCCTTATAGTATCAATAAAACTAAGAGTTCAATTAATTCAAAAAGTATTGATTAGTACAACATGTGAATTTTGCAATGTATTTTACTTTTTGTGTTTATTTTTAAATATTTTAAAGAAAAAAAACATTGATGCACAAAAGTCTATTAAAAGCTTAGTTAATGAATATTACATAATTTTTTTTTTCAAATGTATAATTTTCAATTGTGGATTTTATTTCATTTCACATTTCAAAATTTAAGATTTATTACAATAGCCTATTTTTTGTTGTACGATAGATACACT